GATTTTAAATTTGGAGCCAAAATTTAATATTCACCAATAGGAATAAATTTTAATTGAAAGTGAATTATTCTGAGCTAAACTTGACACATCACATACACTTCCTTCTGCATGTAGCTAGATTGCTCTTGCTTTTCTCACATAGTGTCTTAAAAACGTGTAAGTTTTTCAAGAATAGCCGGGCTTACTGCATCAATTTATCGGTGATACATCAAAAATGTTCATCTGTAATAAAAGCATTATTTTGGTAAAAAATGAGAGAATAGTTCTGTTGACCCTGATTGTAAATATATCTATCTGTTTTCCTTCAGACTATTACATGTGTGTGTGTAATTGAACATGGTTGGAATATTTTTTTAGTGCTATTTAAAATTTTGTAAAGAGACAAATATAAAGATTTAATGTGTAGAATAGCAATTTATCCATCACTGACAAATTAAAGCAATTTATATTAAACCTCAAGTTGTTATCCTATTTAAAAAAAATATGTGCATTATTAAAATATACTGTCTTATCTCATATAGAGCTCTTTTTTATTTTCAACACTTAATTTTTTTTTTTTTTTTGAATGAATTTAAAAATTTTACCTGCAGGAAAATTGCATATGTAACTTTTTGCTGCAGCCAAGTGCTTTAATCCTGTATAGTATGTTGGACTACAAGAGTACATAGTTTATCTCGTTGAAGAATTTTAGGATAGAAACTGCATATATTTCAACATATTAAAAATTTTTAAAAGCATTATGACTGTAGAAAACACAATGGAAGGCAGACATTACCAACTTTCAGCAATTTTTTACCATATAATAAACTAAATAATTTATTCTTCATATGCCCACTAAATTATCTGAAAAGGTTGTTTAAATCAATTATCACAGTAGGTTTAAATTTGAAGCCTATTATAAACCTTTTTTATTAATACCTTTTTGGAAGTTATGTCAAGGGAGGTGGTGGTAATATCTTAAATGAGATAAATTTATGAACAGTAATTTCTGAAGTAATTTATGAACAGTAATTTTTGAAGGTAAAATTTAAAATTATTGCAATTATTATGGGTATATAAAGATTCTGAACCTTAAAAATGTGCACCTGTAAATTTATTTTTAAAACTAATGTTGAAGTACATATATTCATGAGTTACACAAAATATCTTTGTGTATGCAAATCTTAGAAATATATCAAAATGAATGTATATGTAAATGTGTGAAGCATTTAAGCTACTTGAGTGATATTTTATATTTCACACTTAAAATTCAAATGTTAACTTTTCATTACAATAAAGTATGTAGATGCATATTTATTTTCTAATTGCTGTATGATGTTGTAATGGATTATGAGAAAGAAAGGATGTAGGAATAGTGTGATGTAAGAAAAAGATGTATGAACATGGCAATGTTAACAATATAAGGTAAATAAATCTTGCTAGTACATTAATTAACCTTGATTAAAGTCAATAAATTTTAAACTATGAAAATATAAAGAGTACTAAAAATTAGTTGCATTAAACTACTCTGCAAAATATTGTAACCTCTCAAATATTAGCTGGATTACATCTTATCAGTTCCATTTTCAAATATTCCATTTAGAAGTTCTGAAAATTTTTTACTTTTTTACTCTTAAACTTTGTGTGCATGAATTTTTTACTCTTAAACAATTTTGACAGTGAAGCTTTCAATTTATGAATAAATTTTATTTATTATACACAAAATAAAATATTTTATCATATCTGCAACATTTTATATAAAAGCAAGACAAAAGGAAGGAAACGTCTTCATGTATGTATGTCTTACATGTAATACTGAAGTGGGCTATAATTCATATTACAAAATATATTGCATTTTGAATGTAACTAATTAAATACTGGATGAATTATATCAGTATTTGTAAAATTATTACAATAAAACACCTTTTGACAAAGCAGGATTTTTTTTCAATGAATCATAGCTATTAGCTAAAAACATAATGATATTAAATATACATGTTTCTATATATTGTGTATTTGGAGTTACTTGATTTGCTTTTGTGCAAGTTATGTTTAATAATTTTTCAATTGTTTACTGACTTTTATTGTTTAAATGATTTTATTCATGTATAGCCATAGAGATAAGGTGATCCTTTTATTTATATAGCATTAGAAGTTCGAAATATTTATCTCGATGAAGAATGCAACCCCCATTATAGCATGTAATTCTGTGGAAAATCATGCCCCGAGATTCAACCATATTTCAAGCAACTCATCTCGGTCGAATCTTGGGGTATGCCTGCACTTAAATATTTTTTTCCTTCATTTTTCTTAACTATTGATGCGTGTTACTAATTGTACAAAGCTTTTTGTGATTCTTCTTGTCTTTCATTTTGTGGTATGTGGTGAATTGTCTTAGTATTTTGTGCATGAAAATATGTTAACACTTTGCATGCAAATGTACTTTTATATGGTTGTTGGACGTACTTCTATTTTCTAGCTCAAAATATTTTTATCAGTTGTGTGGGATTAATTTACCATTTGCATGAATTTTATGTGATTATTTGTTAAAATTTAATTCTATTTTTATTCTTAACAAGTGGATTTTTAAGAGCATTAATTATTTTTTAGGTAATGTATTATTCATTAAATATTTTAATATTGTTTGTATATTATTTTTAATATTAGATTTCAGTACCACAATCTATATAAAAATTTAACAAATTAAACATTTATTCATTATTTTCAATTCATTTATATATTTGAAATTTCCAAATAATTTGGTTAGTATTCCTTTTTGTATTTATAGTGTAATTTCACACTTGCTTCAGCACATATTTTTCACAGAGAATAAGAATGTACTATGAAAACAATTTTTTTTGTTACTGTTAATAGAAATTATTTATGTTTAGAACCGTAAAATATTCTTTAAAAAAGGATCTTTTGTTTGAAGTACATGAGATATTAAACTGTATTTAATCTCTAGGGTTATTTCGATAATAAAATCTAATTTATGGTTCCATATCAAGAACTGTTTGAAGATTCACTGGTGAAAGGTCATGACATTGCAATGGTTTCTTTCTCTCAACTCAGACAAGTAAACTGTGATTAAATATAAATCAAGATTTTTAAGTGAACTGATGAAAAAAATTCATTGTGATTAATCTAGACTTCATACCAACAACTCAGCTGTCACTCATTGACTTGCACAGTAAAAAAACAGGAATTTTAAGTTAAACGCAGGATATTTTATGATTTATTGAGTGGTTTTGACGGTATTTAATTTTTAAGTTATGTATTGTCCATGTTCTTAATATTCACACAATGAAAAAAAAAATAATAATAATAATCTTAAATTTTTGTGCACAGACTTTTTTCCAACACATTGTGTAACAGCTATGAGTTCCATTTTTAGAATAGTGAACTTGCAGCAAAAAGTGTGTTATGTTTTTGGAATATGCTAAATACTTATCCTTTGTTATTGTGGAATTTGTATTTCAAAGTTAGTATGATACAGATCCACTAAGCCACTACAGCATTTTGTAGTGGAGTCCAAGTGCAGTGGTTGTCTGTGTAAATACATGAATCCTAAATAATCAAATATTCTAATAGAATAGTGGACAACTTTTAAGAGATTCTTGTAATATAGTCTACAAAAATCAACAAACTGAGCTGCTGTGAACTTGCTATTTTTCAACCAACTATTTGGAAGATTTTATGATGGTTATTGTTATTGCAATTAAAATCATACTGTTTGCAGATGTAGCAAATGGCAAATGATTTTGTTAAGAGCTGTGAATTTGCACTTGCATGCAGGAAGCATTTCAAGATGTTACCATTCTATTATTCAATGATAATTCAACATTCCATTTATGCAAAGTGATAACCTATTACAGTGAGTGCCCAGTTAATGGACATTGTCATTCTCTCATTGAGCAGAAAAAGAATTCGCCAAAACTATATTTTGATATATTGCCAATTGCACTAATTTTCTCAAATGAAAGATGATTCAGAAAATTCTATATTTCGGGAAGATGACATTGTTGTATTTGTCAGCTTGGGAAAGATGACTTACCATTGTTCAAAACGACCACCAAAGTGTCTTAATTTTTAATTTTATGCCTCTTTTCCTTTAGGAATATGTTATGTAACATTAATGGCAATAGCATTAGAGGAGTTCCAACACATTACAGTTACTTTGGTCAACATCAACACTGAAATGTTTTATGGTGGTTTGGAGCAAAACTGAAGTGCCATTTTGGAGCAAAACTGAAGGACATTTGCCATGCAAAATGAGGATATGATTAAAATTTGAGAGATTTTACCTCATTTTATGATTCATTTATTTTATTTGCAGTTCTTTATGCATTAAGGTGTTTTCAAACCCATTGAATCATTTTACTAATCACAGGATTCCAGGGTACTTTGTTAACAATAAAAAATAAAGGTTCATATAATAACATGATTCTTGTTGCCCCTTTCCCTACTAAAGAGCAATACAAGAAGATGAATGAAGAAAAAGCAAACTATAATAGTTGATAGGAGAGCATAGCATGATCAGAGGGTGAGAAATTCTGCAAACAGGTGATCATACCACAACTGAGGTCTGTTTTTGATCAAATAAATTAAATTTCTTTACAAATGTTATATGCTCAAAATAAGGCACCATGTCAATTTGTCTAAAAATGGTTTAAATTCAGTTTAAAAGATAACATGAACTGTTTTTCTTGATGTTGTTTATAGATGTTATTTAAGGTAAGTATTAGGATGTTCTCTGACAACCAAATTTAAATATTGTAAGTAATATGCTTATTTTTTTATTTTATTTATTTATTTATTTATTTTTTTTTTGTAAATTTTTTAATAGAAGGCTACTTTACTTCTTAGTTCAAAAATTTTTTAAATAGCTATTAGGTATTGATTTAATAATGTTACTTATTCAAAATATACTGTAATTTGCCTAACGTTAAAAGACATTGTATTTATCATGAAAAGCCATTTTATACCTTTAGTAAGTGGTATTTTTATCACTTTTTATTCAGGTTCTGCTCGTGTTGGTGATCTGTTACACATGGCAGGAAACTTAGGCAAAGCTGTCGGCACACTCGTAACAGTAATGACAGATGATGAAGATGCTAGCGCCTCAGAGGATGAACTGAAACAGTGACTCATTTTTTAGTCTGTCATAATTTCTCCTTAAATTCATGTGTACTGGACCAGCATAAATGCAGAAGAAAGCAAAAAAACCTTTTGCATCGAGATATCTCAAAAGACCATACCTCATGCATGTGCATTTGTGTAAACTGGATGCGAAACATATCATAGACCATTGTCTGGACGTCACTTCGTGTTTGCCTTAGTATTTGCACAAGGGGTGTCTCTTCATATGTGACTATGAATAGTATTTTTTTAAATTGTGTATCTAAGTCGCTTTTGCGTTGAGTACTGGTTGTTTGCTTAGGATGCAAATAGCTATATTTCTTTCCGAAATGCTGAAGCTCGGCACCTAAAATTTCCATCTGTGTCATTGTTAGAAATTTAAATTTTAATATGTCTTTTTTGTGAATATATTTGTTTACTTTGGAGATTAACCTTTTCATCATATCATGATTTTTGTTATAATCATTTCAAATTTATATTTTTCATATTCTGTAAATTAAGAGTGTTATAGAAACAAAGTGTTTCGTGCAATGTACTTTAAATTATCGAAAAATTAATCTTGATCAAAGTTGTACTGAAATGCTCATTGTTTTATTCCATTAGTAACATAACTGTAATGTATGTATTGGACATATTTTCATAATTTAGATGAAACCTAAGTAAGCGAGATCCTGTAGTTTATGTTCAGTTAAACAAGTGGACGTTTGTCTTCTTGAGCCTACTAACTGTATCATATTGTATCTTTATTATGTTTACTTTATAATTTTGGACCAAAAGTTGTTTTTGGAAGCAATTCAGGTCCCAGGAACCTGGGCAGAAGAATTCATTACACAAAGTAGTGTTTTCATGTGCCATATCACGAACATCTCACAGAATACTACATTAAAAAACTGCAAATGTTTGCGACATCGCTCAACATTGTCTGTATGATGTGCATTTTCCTGTACCTTCTTTTTTAATATATACACAAGTGGTACTCGTACAAATTAGAGATTAAAGGAAGCATTAAAATTCATATCATTTGTTGAAAAGAATTTGTGTAATTTTCATAATGTTTTTGTACTTCATATTAGGAATACATGGTCTTGGGAAGCAAGGAAGACATTCTCCCATGCAGCATCAATTCTACCTTTTTTTTTTCTATGCCTATGAAATTATTAAATAAAATAATTGCTTGAGACAAGTAAAATCTAATGTTAATTTCTTTTCTATGCTCTTGAGTTCATCATTTTCCCCCATATGTCATATTTGAGTTTTACATTTTATTGTGGTTCTTCCAGTGGGGAAAAATGAATACAATAAGATGTTTACATGCACATATTTTATATGGTAATTAAAATTGGAGATTCTTTGCACTTCATGGTGAGTGTAAAATGTTCAAACCCATTAGCAGCAATAAAGTCAATAATTAAGTGAGGAATCTTTTCTTCTCTTTTTCTTTTTATCTAACTTATATCAAAATATGTGTGTGAATTTAAATTAAAAAAATTGAGTATTATACGTTGAAATTAGTGCTGTTTTGTTGCAGATAATATGGCAGAAAACATATTTAATGTGAAAATATGCACTTTTATTGCCCAAGAGAATGAGAATATTGTACCATTTATTATTGTTGGCACAGAACTGAAGCAGCAGTATGCTGGATCCTTGAAAGATGCTAGTTGGGATGTTACATGGCAAGCAGGGTGTCACAGCAAGCACCTTTAAATATCTATCTATGTAGGTTTTGAGGGATCATTTTGAAAAGCCCCTTGTGTCAACACATGGTAGCATCCCTTGGTAGCCATATTCAGTATGTCACGGTTGGCCATTTCCTTCTCTATGGTTAACTAAAAACGGAAGCTAAGGTCTCTTCTATTCCAGTTTTTGACTGTATTCTCACTAATTTGATGTACAACATATTTCTTCCAACGTTTTCGCATTCCTAAAATTTTCTAAGATTTTCATGTTATACTATTTTGTTGTTTACACACAAAATCATTATTTCTAGTGTCTGAAATAACTTTTTTCACACATGTGCCTTTCTCCCAAATTACCTTTAACAGAAGGCTGAAATATTATACATGCTATATGAAATGCATATGAAAGAAAGTAAATAAGTCTGAAGACATCATATTTCAGTTCTGTGACCATCAAATGCTTCTGTCTATGTTTTGGCAATAATAAAGAGCTAAGAGCCTAGTATAGGAAGAGAGCAAGACAGTAGTTTTTGTTTTTTCATTGCTTCTGCGAATCTGACATCTGGAAAAATTGTCTAATCAAAATCATTCATTAATGTGATAGCTGAAAAATATCAAATGCCGATTTACTTTTAAAAAAACATACACTGATTACTTTTCTTTCATTGTATTTATCAAGAAATATAATAGATTTATGATGCATGCCATCTTGATTTTCCATTTGACATGGTTAAAAAAAAACTAGTGTTCTTAGACATATATGTATGCAAATGCTCATGGACAACTATTATTAACAAAAGAAGGCCATGGCCAAATACTAAGAACAAAATTGCAATGCTTACTTCTTAGAGGAGGCAGGGTTTGTCTTTGTTCCTAACAGTTGCACAAAACAAAAATTAGATTGAATTATTATTTTTCGGTTAAAAGATATTAATAATATTTTTTCATGTAAGTATTTTTTTATTATTGTATAATGTCTATACTCGCAGGGATTTCGAACAATAAAAAGAGAACAAATTCTGTTGGTTCAAATACTGGACATCTGGGTTTTTGGAGCTGTACTGTATTTGCATTTAAAAATTAGCGACTACACATTCTGATATTAATTGGATAATATTAAACCTTTTCATGCTGCCTGTGATGTGCCAGCATGAAATGCACTCATTTCCTGGCTAGCATCCCGTCATGTGTGTTTTCTTGTTCACCACTGCCCATAACACATTCATGTCAGAGTTTTGGAACATTTTAGAGTCATCAGTCTTTGGTACCAGATATACAGGGTACTTATAAAATCTTCTCCAGTATATGAACACCTAGCAGTCTATCTGCTCAACCAGTCAAAATGAAATTCCAAATATATATATTTGGAGGTATGTAGAGATTGTAACAATTAAAATCAGTAGAACTTTTATGGTTACAGTGAAAGACTTTCAAAATTTTCAAATGGCAACACCCAAATTTTCGTCCACAAATTGATCAGCACATTTAAAAAGCATAAATAGTGTTGGAATGATATATGCATGATGAAAATTGTCGGCTTAAAATATTTGCGAACAAAAGCATTGTAAAGGACCAATGATAACTTAAGAGATGGGAGGGAAAAAAACTTTTATTGAAATTACAAGTGTTCAAAACGTACAATGTTTTAAGATAGAATCATCTTCCGTAACTTTGCAGTTTCATGGCCATCACAATCCCCCTACCTCATTTTGGTAGATTTCTAATTCTGAGATTATGTATAATCTAAGATGTACATATCTGATCCAAGAGATTTGTCAGAAATGAAAGATGCGATAAAATGCGAAGGTATACATATACCTTCTATGATGTTATGTTTGTCATTGTTGTCAACCTCCTGCATGTAGTGCTCTATCATCTGCTATGGTGAGGACATTGAGTTAGAAACAAATAATTATAATAAAAGTTTTTTTCCTTGTCCTCTCTGTTGTCATTTCTCCTTTATGGTGCTCTTCTGTGAAAATGTTTTATGCCAGCAATTTTTGTCATACACACTTATTTCCAACCAATTTATGCTTTTTCTAAATGTCCTGATCAATTTGTACAGTGGAAAAGGTAGATGTTACCATTCAAAAATTTCAAAATTTTTTTCACTGTAACAATAAGTTTGACAGCTGTATTGTTTCAAATCATAATTATTTCATAATTATTTCATATTATAATAAGCATGTCTTCAATCTGAAATTTCATTTCAATTAGTTGAGCTAATAGCCTTATATATCAGGGAAATTTTTTATGACCAACCTTCATACAGTAAAAAGTCTGAAATCTGGACTTCATTATCCGGAATGATCTAAAATCCAGACCTCAAAACCACCAACAACATTTTCTCATAGGCTTTATGCATGCACATTTGATTCCTCCCTCTGCGCATAATAAAACATATGGAGAGTCTCTATTCTTAATTTCACTTCAACACTAAATAAAATACCTTGTTACTGAAGAAACAATCATTTTAGCATAAATTTATAGGATCAGTTGTTGTTGGCTCCATTGCTGCGTATCTGCATCGAACTCTTATAAGCCTTAAACGTGTGCAAGAAATAGACATAAGTATAATAATTAAACTAATACATTTTCAGGCTTAATTGTCTCAGTGCGCAATAGAAGCAAGATAAAACTTAACGGAACAACTTGTCATTAGTCGCCAAGGTCTTGATGCATAGCAGAATATATATAGTGAAGGATAGCTAAATTTGATGATGATAGCCGCTAATTTTAAAGGTTTTCGGATATCGCAAAACAAAGGTGAAATTTTCTAATTAACCGATTTTGTAAAGAAATTTGGAGAAGTGGTAATAAATGAAGATGATATAAAAGAAGTTTTTCATTGTGATGACAATGCTTCTCAATCATCGTTCAATTAATGAATGGAAAAATTTGTAGTATGATTCTAGATTCAGAAAATACCGCTACCGATAGTGAAGAAAGTGACAGAGAAGTTACTGAAAACGAGAAAATTTCGATTAACAAGTTAGCCGGAATTCTCCAAACACCAATTACAGGACTTCAACAATGTAACTAAACAAGAGATTATGTCTGTCTACAGAATTAAAGAGAACATATTAGCACAAAAAACGAAGCAACTTAAACAACTTACATTGAAAGAAATGTTTAATAGGGTAAACAAATAAATATTAAGCTCTCCCTCTTTTTTTTTTTTTTTTTTTTTTTTTTGTTGTTGTTGTTGTTGTTGTTGTTGTAAATTTTGATACCCTTTAGATCATAAATACTTCATTATTTCATAAATCACGATTTCATATTTTTAGTTTTATAATTTCTACATGCCATCCCACTAGATTTAAACTGATAATCTAATATCCGGAAAAATCCCAAATCTGGAATTGCTGAAGTCCCAACGAGTTCGGATTTCGGACTTTGTACTGTATAGGATTTGTGATACATGTAGATTTGACTCCTACTCGAAATGAGACAAAGATGACTCATATGCACGTGGATTTTAATTATATAAAAGTTATGGCAAAAGGCATGCTCTGCACTTGCAGGTTTCCCAAGGGTTCTTTAAATGCATGCTTGGTATTTATTTATTATGGGAGTCCCCCCCCCATCGTCGTTTTTTTTTTTTTTTTTTAATTATTATTTTGTTTCCTTCCCTAGAGCATTGGGTATTTGGGTTTGCATTTGAGATTCTAATTGAGAATTGTACCTTTTATATGTAATATTTCTGTTTTGAGCTTTACAATGTCAATGCCTCAAAAATTTTTAACAAATTATGTGAATCTAAAGCAGATTATATCTGAAACTTTATCATTTGTGTGGGAAAAGATACAGAGTTAAGAGAAACTTTAGGATTATACATGGGAAAAAGTTGTTAAATGTCTACTCGAACCTTGTAGTCAAGGATATCATTTATATATTCATTGTTTGTGTCTCCATCATTAGTGGATGAACTCTTTAGACTTAAAACAAACACTTGTGGGACTGTAAATGAGAAGAAGGAAAGAAATGACTAAAAATTTTCTGCTGCCTAAAATAAAAATTGGTGAGATGTTGGTTTTGCAGAAAAAAGAATGATTATGAAACTGCTTTCAAAGATAGACAGGAAGATCTTTGTTCAAATGGAAATTTAGGAAAGTGCAATTGCGATGCTTCATCTGTTCACAACGCCACGTAAAGGTAGATGAGCTATTATGAATGCAAGGATTGCAAATTAGAACTATGTGTAGATAACTACTTTGAAATTTTATGCTAAAAATGAATTTTACATAAAACATTTAATTGTCAAATGTGTAATATCAAAAGTCACTTATAGATAAGTAAATATTGAAAAAGAATGAGCAAAATAAAAATATGTAAACAAACAAAAACAAATCTTGAGTCTATGAAGTATGTTGGACTACCAACAAACTCAAACAATGCACTCTGGGAGTTTATTCTGGCAGCACATCGAGAAACTGACTTGCACTGAGCTCGAACAGCTTTGAAATGATTTGTTGATTAATACAACAGGACAGGAAGTATTTTTCTCTTACTACAAGGGCAAGGATCATTTACTCACGTTTTTTTGTACATTTAATTTTACCACCGACCGTCAGGCAAATATTACTTGCCTTTCCACTCACAACTACAACGTCCTAATACAGCTGTATTGGAGGATTAAACTATTTTTAAAAAAACATGCTATTTACATCTAATATCTTATGAGATCTTCATACATCTAATATCTTATGAGATCTTCAGACTTGCGCAGCCTTAAAAAGTT